CAGAAACAGTGTGCCCACATTAATACATTTCATTGTTGGAGGGAGTGCACTCTATGTGGCCCCTTCAAGGATAGCACAGGAAGCCTCCACTTGGATTCTCTAGACTCTAGTATTTTCCTCTTTCTGATCCAGCTGTGTATCTTTGCTGTGTCATTATAATAAATTTTAGCGAGGAGTATGACCATAAGCTTAGTCGTGTGAATTGTATTGACACATTGAATGTGTGAGTGCTCACAGGACTGTTAAAATGAATGAGTCAGAAGTGCTAACACAAGTGGTGTCACAACTGTTTCTCCTAATATGTATACTAAAAGTTTTTAATACTGTATTTCATACACAACTTATTGTGATCCTTTGCACTAAAGAGATCATCACATAAATAAATTATACGGGGAAAGCATAACAGAATAATAAAGGCAACTTCCTCCTGAGGTAGAAAAGACACATCCCTTCCTCTACAAGTAGAACCTAAGAGAGTGCTAAAATAAGTTTTTAAACAAATGTATCTTATTGTAAAGAAATGTCTCCAAATGCTAATACTTTTAGATGAATATTCCCTCCTCCTATTAGTTCATTTACAATTTAAAACTATATTCTTACATATAACAGGATAATGGCAGCAGAAATTTGAATGTAATATAATACAAATAAGTGATACAATACTCTTAGGATGTCATGAAGATTCTTTTACACCATGATTATTTCTTCAACCAAAAGCATCAGCTGTCCACAAAAACTTTTTTAGACAGTATACAGTTTTATAATTTTCTCCATTGCTTGTTAATCCACTGAAAATAATTTCATAATGTAACATTTTTAGGCATCTTCTTTGTTACTTTCTTTGGTTTCTATTCTTTAGGCAATAATGGCTCGATCTTTAGTAACAAACCTTCACTTGTTGAAGTACGAAGGAAAGCTTGTACCACAAAATGTCCCAAACTGAGTGGTCTGTGCTTACAAACTTCATTGATAACTGCTTGCAGATTTGCCCTATCTGGTCACTTGGCATATCCAGTGTTGCTATTTTGGTCTTGAGAAAGTTCTCCCTTTCTTCATCTACCTTAATTTCATGTCCAGTTTTAAATAATTCAAGCATTTTGAGGATGTCATGGCCAATGGACTTTCTAGTTAGTTTTGGAAATCTTTTTTTTCAGTTTCTTCTTTAATGAATTAAGCTCAGGCATTATTTCTGGAACAGCTACATAAAAGTCTGATTGAATTTCATCATCCAAAATCTTCTGAATCAGATTAGTTTCTCCAGCAAACGCAGCTCCATTTTCTTCTGTTATTTTGATCTCTGATGCACTCCCTGTAAATACAGCAACTTTATTGATTTCTGAAACAAACGGGCACGGAAAACTGAGAACACTGGCAAATGGCTCCACTTTTTTCTTCTTCCCCAGTGCCATATCCAGTGTCAAATCAAGATAAACACCTTGCTTTGGATTAGTAAAGTCTAGAATTTGAAATTTCTTAAGTAACTGAATAGCCTTTTCCACCTCGTGTATCTGCCTTGGATATAAGCGCTTTAAGTAGACATCATCCTCTGGTTCATCTTCCATAAAGGAACAGGACTTTATTTTTTCTCTCATCTGTTTTCTCATCTGATGCTTTGTCTTTTACACCTTTTTGTGTGTTCTTTGCAGGCTTTGTAGCAGCAGCATAATATCTGCTGGGCACCCAAACATTTACAGAACAAGGATAGAGAGGTGTCTGATAAGCCATCTTGGAAACACTATGCTTTTGATGATGTTTCAAGACTCTACCGAGGCATCTTATGGTCGCCGCCATGTCGACGATTCCGGATTGTATTGACGAAATGGGTCCCACAAATTTTTATCATTACTACTGAAAACACTCCTGGTGAAAGCACATCAATTGTGTAAGAAGAGTTTGCCAACATCACTCAATACAAAAAAGAAAAAAAGAAATGGCTCATTCTTTATACATAGCAGTTTTTACAAGTGAAATCAGATGAATCTTCTCTTACCTATACAACTATTAGAACTACTAGAGAAGCGCTATTAAAAATATGAGAACTTAAAAATAAAAAAGGGGGCGCCTGGGAGGCTTAGTCGGTTAAGTGTCCGACTTTCGCTTAGGTCATGATCTCGCGGTTCGTTGGTTCGAGCCCCCCGTCGGGCTCTGTGCTGACTGCCAGCTCAGAGCCTGGAGCCTGTTTCAGTCTGTGACTCCCTCTCTCTCTGACCCTCCCCTGCTCATGCTGTCTCTCTCTCTCCTAAAAATAAATAAAACATTAAAGAATTTTTGAAAAAAATATGAGAACTTTAGGGGCGCCTGGGCGGCTCAGTCGGTTAAGTGTCCTACTTTGGCTCAGGTCATGATCTCGTGGCTTGTGAGTTCAAGCCCTTGTTGGGCTCTGTGCTGACAGTTCAGAGCCTGGAGCCTGCTTCAGATTCTGTGTCTCCCTCTTTCTCTTTCTCTGCCCTTCCCCCACTCTCACTCTCTCTCTCTCTCTCAAAATAAATAAACATAATAAAAAAAATTTAAATGAGAACTTCCACAAATGACCTGCATTACACTTAAGGGCTAATGAATTGCAGTTAAGCCTCTGTTTTCAGCAAAAAATATTTTTTTAATTTTTTTTTTTTCTAGGAGAGAGAGAGAGAGAGCGTGAGCAGGGGAGGGTCAGAGAGAGAGGGAGTCACAGACTGAAACAGGCTCCAGGCTCTGAGCTGGCAGTCAGCACAGAGCCCGACGCGGGGCTCGAACCCACGAACCGTGAGATCATGACCCAAGCGAAAGTCGGACGCTTAACTGACTAAGCCACCCAGGCGCCCCTTAAGCAAAAATTTTTTGAAGGCCCCAGTTTACAGTTGACAGAGTAATGACACTGAACTTCTAAAGTTCAGGTTTGTTATTATTTTATTATACTAATAATCATTTAAAATATTTGAACAAAAAAGATAAGCGGTACTCTTGTATTTTAACAGACCAAATCCGACAATAAATACACTGAAGCTTTTGTGATTGCAGTTCAAATAGACTACCAACAAATAAATATGATATAATTTAATGAACAAGTATCTCAATCTGAGAAAATTAATATCCCCAATCTTTCCATCTTAAAAATACAAAACTGTGAGAGCAAGACCCTGCATAACATCAGTGACTGCACAGCAATAAACAGATCGCTGTGATAAAGTAATAAAAGAAATGAAAAACTACATGTGATTTTTTTTTCATGTTTATTAAGTTACTCTTTTGAATATTAACTCTTAGGGTTCCTCTTATGTTCTGTGTTTGTTTCTCACCTGATACCTTATGATCCTTTGCAATTTATAAGTAGTTGATCTACAAAGTAAATTTTTAATTGTCCTTAAATAGTTTAAGGATGAGGGCAGGGGGGTAACTTAAAGCAAAAATGAATACTTATATATGGTTTACAAAGGTAGGTGTAAAGCCTATAGTGCAGGAATCACATGCTTTTGAGTTAGCAAGAGAATGCAGGTCAGGTTACCCTTCTAACTTGTATTACTGGTTTTACTGTATGTGGCAGTTACAAGTGTCCAGAATCCAATTTGAATATTGTTTCCAACTGTCTTGGACCATCCAAGAGTTCAAGAGGTTACAATCCTAAATCTCCAAAGACTACCCATTTTTCTTACTCCAAAGTGATCCCTAAATAATGGTTAATCCATGGAGGAAGGTCCCTGCTTTGAACTTGCAGTTGTACAAGGTAATTGATGCACTTTTTGTCAGAATTAAGCAAAAACAACATAACGAAAATGGTGACCTGGCTAATCATTATGTCACTGTTGAACTCTTAAGGCTTTTATTTAATTATGAAAACTTGTGTACACTCTTCCAGAATCTGGTTGTATAATTCAGATGTAAGCAAAGGCAAACAAGAGTTAGACGACTTTCAAAAACTTTAATAAAGAAAAAAAAACACTTCCAAAAATAAATGCCACACAAATCAAAGTTTTAAAAAGTGAAAGATATTCAAGAAATAAAATCCTTTACTATCAAAATATACTAAATACTTAAATATAATGATGTTGAATTTTCAAATTCTGGGTGAATGTAGCTTATAATCATATAGCTAGTAAAGCAGTGTTTTTCATGATATGTCTGTTTTCAAGACATTACTTAATAGTACTTTTTAAACTTCTATTTTCTTAAACATCCACTTCACAATTCATTTAATTATTTTTACATTCATTTATAAAAACACAGTTTCTAACAATGGGTTATTTTGTGCTTTAATAATAATGATCCATGGTAAAATACTAAAGTGATTTAAACGCTTTGCTAATGACTACATCCATCACAGATTCTTGCACACTTATACAGCTACTGCAATAATCCAAAGAGCTACAACTCTTCTTAAAAATGACACCCACTCAAGTTTGGTAAGCATGCTACATAATTCTAGAAATGTATTTTTTCCAAGTTAAAACATTAAGCTTTCTAGCTTTCTTGAAAAATCTGCAAAGATAACCTATTCATTTACATCACTTTTAACTGGAAATTTATAAAAACAGAGGAAAGCATCATTTTAGAATTTTCTTTATAACGTCTATAGTAAAAACTGGATGTCGTCTTTCAAACTGTGATGGTACTAAATGATTAAAATTCTAATTTCTAAAATGTTAAGAAATACAATATCAATTTCATCTAAGGGGCATTTTAATGAATTAAACTATTTTTCAGGTCTATACTTTCTTTAGTGAGTGACACTGCCTTAAACTCATCACAGTACTTTAGTAAATAATCCATTTAAAATGTGATCCAAGACAAACCTCAGCTTATTCTAAATTCTCTTCTATAACAAGGGACCAATGTATATCATCCTCTAGACTTTTAATACAGTAAACAGATACAAACCTAAAGCAATAAAATTTATAAAATTAATGGCAATTAATGCTAAATACAACAGACCTCATTCCCACAATTTGGAATTAATTTTCATGCAAAATTTTATAGTTTTTATCCTTACTTATAGATAATTTATTTCTTTAAGTAATCAAGACAAATAGTAGAAAAAGCATTTTATTTATATGGAAAAAGCTACATTAATATCTGTAAAAGGTGTCAATATAATATTGCCTATACAGAAAAAAATTCAAATGTGAATAACAACAAATAAAAGTTACACATCTTCCTACTTAGCAGTGCAATTAATTCACATTGCAATACAGTTAAGTCAAGTATAACAAAATCAAAATGAGTGTTTCTCCATAATCAGGATACTGAGAATTACAGTGTAAAGATCATTTCAGGTTTAAGAAATCTGCAATCAATCTACAGAATACCCTAAGACAAGGGAGACAGTTAATTCATTTAATTACCAGCTGTTGGGTTTTTTCAATACTGTTCACAGGAAAAAGGTAATGAGTTTACATACATGTAAATAGAATATATTTAGTCTATACAGTAAAAAAATACAAATTATAAAGTGAGCTAACAAAGAATGAAATCTGAATACAGATTTATAAAACTGATAACATCTTAGACAACACATACAGTATTTCTCATGTAAAAACATCTAGTTTCAGCAAAAAATAATTTGGTTGCTTTTCAGATGCATTGCAGATCTTGTAAGCTGAAGATGCAGATGTCCAAGTATCTTAAAAACCATAATAAGTGTCTTTCTTAATGCATACAAAATGACAAATGCTCTCATCACAGTCTTAATGGTATTTTTGGAAGTTTGTCTTGCTTCAGAAATACATGTAAAATGGTATAAATGAAAGGATTTCATGGTACAATGAAACAGTAAACAGTGCTCAATTTACTGCTAATGTTGAAAAAAACCTAGATTTTACAGTACTCTGGTATATATGAAAATTTTTTTGATTTTACATTGCATATTTCTGAGTCCATTCTCTTGCATGTCTGTTGTATCTGTGGGCATACAAAAGAGATATAGTAAAAACATACAAATTGAATCTTTAGAAGACCTATTTACATAAAATGTATAATCTACCACCTTACACTTCATTGCAATAATCACTCATATGCCAATTATTGAGTCAATATGACTTAGACTCATAAATTAGATAAAACAGAAAACAAGTGATTTTTTAACTGACGGTTTTCTCTACAACCAATATAAAAACATACCTAAATTATAAACAATAAAATGAAGAAACCAATTTCTAACAGAAATCTATAAAAGCCAACCCTGAATGGGCATTAATCTGTAAACTGTAAATGAATCAGTGGTACCAGCAAAATGAGTTAGCTTGAAAATTAGGTCAGTTTGGAGGTGGTTAGGGATAACTTCTCTTCTTGGGAGAAGATAAGGAATATAGTATTCAATGCTTTCCAATTATCAAGTTCTTTTATTTTAAATTTACTACCTAGAAGTATGTATAGTTCTTTCTTATCAGAAAACATGACATATTATGCAAATGTAAACATGTACTATTAAATAGTAAAGGATTAAACACTATGTAGGATGAAACAATATTTTTTGTAAAAAGACTTAATACAGTTAAAAAAACAGTATCTTCCACTGGAAAGATAATAAACACAATTAAATGGACTTAAATATATTGATAATACTTATGTTTTGGCAGACTACCTAGAAATACTTCTAAGCAGAAACTAATATAAGTAAATACTTACTTTTCTTTGTCTGATTTATAGATTTGTGCAATATCTGGTACTAAGGGGTCATCAGGGTTAGGATCACAAAGTAGAGAACATATGGACAATAAAACTGGATTGAAAAGAGAATATCACATTAGATAATGATCTTTCGATTTTTTACAATCACATGTATGAAAATGACTTTATTGAATACAGACAACTTATAAAGAAAACAAAATAAAATGAAAATATTAAATTACATTTTAGACTAACTTTGGTTAGAAGCAAGTATTTTTAATTTTTAAAATTATAAAATTACCATACAATGTATATAAGAAATTACTAAAACTTTTGAAGTTTTAAATTCTATTTGAATTTCTGCTTATTTAAAAAATGTGCATCTTTACAGTAACTATTAACATTTAAACTCAAGAGTTCTCTATAAAAATATTTTTAGATAACACATATACACCCTAAATATGGTACCTAATCAAACATTTTTAGAACGTATCCTAACTTTAGATATTTCTTACAGATATTTCTGATTTTAATGAGAGAATTATCCATTTTTTATTTTATTTTAATGCAGAAGATCTATGTTCTAATCAATTCAAATTAAAGCAATCAAATTACAGTTAACAGACCAAACCATTTTTGACTTTTGTTTATGCACTTTTTTACTTTGGCTTGGTGCTACAGTTTGCCTACCAAGAAGAAACATTTGTCAGATTTCTTTCTTTCTTTTTTTTTTAAATATTTTTTAATTTATTTCTAGGAGAGAGAGAGACAGCTTGAGCAGGGGAGGGTCAGAGAGAGAGGGAGACACAGAATCCGAATCAGGCTCCAGGCTCTGAGCTGTCAGCACAGAGCCCGACGCGGGGCTCGAACCCACTAACCGCCAGATCATGACCTAAGCGAAAGTCGGACGTTTAACCGACTAAGCCACCCAGGCGCCCCTGTCAGATTTTTTTCAATGAATCTTTTATTCCATACACATTGTTTGTATCACTCATTTAAGTATAATGTGAACAGTTATCAATATATCACTTGTATATTATATTAAAATATAAGTGAAAATGGAAAAAGTAGTTGTTTACTGCCATACCAAAATATTAAATTTCAAATACTAAAATAAATCTAAGTATCTGAAAAAGTAAGGAACAGGACTCTGGTTCCTCATTTGTCTGCTTCAGTTGCATGCCACCACTTCTGAGGGGGTACGAGGAGTTTTTGAAATAATACTTCATCTTTACCCACCTGTACTATGTTCCTTTACCTTTTCCTACTCTTAGAAATCCACAAGTGAACGTAAAAAGCTGAGTTAATTCTTAAGTGACACAGACAGGGGGCTGCTCAGGGCTAATGAGAAAACTAATGTTTTATTCATCTTCCTTTCATCTGCCCAGTGAAATTTTAAGCCTTGTATATTAAATGAATAGGGGAGATTATCTGGGCTCACATCTCCAGAAAGTTTCCACACTAAACTCATGATAAAAAGCAAAATAAGACATTTAAAATATTAAAAAGTGAAAAATGCACAAATGAGCGAAGTATAAACTACCCTATAAAATAACCAAGAGGCAATTCCTCATTCCCCGCTACTGCTGTCAAGAGCCAGGTGCCCTGATTTTACTATCACGTACAATAAATCAAATGTTTTAAGATAAGGGAAAAGGTAGTAATAGTTGACATTCATTTCAGGGCTTACTCTGTGCCAGATGCTTAGTGACCTCATGTAGTAATACTATTATAATCTCCATTTTTCAGATGAGGAAACTGAGGCTACTTGAAATTCTTCTTAAAGGATAGTTTCCAGAAACCAATGATACTAATTAATATTTACAAAAAGCTGCAAGTGTTAGGAAATAAATGCTCAACATATGGCAGTCTGCCACTTCTTTTATATGTGTAAGTACTTAACCACTTATGCCAAATGAATTTTATTTTGTGATACCATTCCAGGTAAAGAGTGTATTAATTTGAATAACCCTTCAACACAAAATCTTTCCTACATCTACTGCATAACAGTTATACTATGTGAGATTTTTAAAAAGACACTAGAATTGACATGAATATTTTACCCAAATATTTTAGGTCAGAAAAACTGTCATTCATAATAACTAGCTGACCTGAAGGGATAATACTTATCTAATATTTGATATAATTATGGCTGTGGACCCTGCTTCCTATACACCTTATCACTTTTATAAAAAATAAGTTAAACATTCATATACCATTTATTTAAAATATTTTTTAAATGACCATAGATTCCTCCCCTGAATCCTTCAATAGAAGTAGTTTTCTTAAATTAAAAAAAAAAAAATTATAAAAAGGGAAAACTACCAAATTACTTCAGGGGCAAATGCTTCTAACTCAGAACAGTATTTTGAACAGTCAGGTTATCGTCTGCTAGAGAAACAAGACATGAACTAACAGGGCTGGCACAGCAAACAGTATTGGCTAATAACAAAAAGGCTTCAGAGTCTAGGTACGTATCTGGTGACTTAGCAAAGAACAAAGCTATATATTTGTGAAAGCTGAGAATCCACAGGGATTATGTTATCAGTCATTACAATAATGTTATTGATTATTCAAAGTTTAGACTAACATGCTAAATATAGTGCATTCATTTGTGTCATTCATTTTAAATCATTTATCAGCCCAATCTGGTATTTCTTTTTAGATGAAGTAAAAGATGTAAAGCTTTACTCATTACATCAACAATCCCATCTAATAAATGGTGCAACTGGCAGTAAAATCTTATTTTTACTCTGTCTCTGACTCTTTGGTTAAAGCCCAAACTAAAGGGGTAAAATGTCAACAGGCTTATCCAAATTTCTAGCTCTAACATTTAAAATTTCTCTCATTTTATCATTTAGATTTGCCCATCAACCCCTCCCCCCAAGCTAACTGCTAAAAGCAAAAAAGTAATAGAAGAGCTAGGTAAGCAAAGCAAAATCAAAGTGGGAGAAAACACATTTTAATTTTTTAAAACTTAGACCCTAAATACTTCTGCTGTATTTTTCCCATCTGTTATCAGCTATTATAAATCTGATAAATGAAATTACCTTTTGATACAGTCAGAGCTGGTGACCACTGTGACCTCAGGATATCGAGACAAATACTTCCATTACTGTTTATGTTTGGATGATAAATTTTTGTTGTGAAAGCAATCTAAAAACAAAACAAATATGTGACAATCCATGAACTACGAACAAAAGAGAAGTAATCTGCTCTAGAATTTTATATGACCTTAGAGGAGAAATGTATTCCACACAAATTGAGTATCTACTTTGTGCATACACAGCTACTACGAGTATGAAAGCAAAAGGAGTCAGTATCCCCTTTCCCCCCTGGAGAATTGAGAACTATTTTTGGAATATAATAAATAAGCCTATTAAAGTGGTATGACTAACTGAGTAGTACCTGAATAATTAACCATGGCTTCCATCATCCTTCAGAGTAATCCTTTTCTTAATTTCAAAACCACTGGTACTTGCAAGTAACACTTGGATCTAAAAATAGGGTGCTGACATTGTTCCAGAGGGAAGTTGAGGGGCCTCAGTCTGTTACTTATCCTAAGGACTCTGCTAACGATTCTAATCTTCCACAAGAAGTGTTGCTATATTGTTTCATATATATAACGTTAATCAGGTATTCTTAAAAAATCTGAAATAATTATTCCAAGTGACAAAATTTATTAACAAATCTCTCCCTCTTTGATGTCACCATCATTTATTTCCTATTCAGGTCTAGTCTAAATTTAATTTAATAAGAACATGTTTTTATTTTCACTACCATACTTAATAAAGGGACTGTGGCATATTTACTTTTGTATTCCCCAATGTAACAGAACATTGGAGGTGCTCAATAAATTTTTGCTGAATACTTAAGAACTGAGAAATGAGGTCAACTTTGGAAAGATAATCCCCTGAATAGAAAAGTCTGATTTTGGAGGCGCCTGGATGGCTCAGTCAGTTAAGCGTCCGACTTAGGCTCAGGTCATGATCTCATGGTTTGTGGGTTCGAGCCCCGCAACGTGCTCTGTGCTGACAGCCAGCTCAGAGCCTAGAGCCTGCTTCAGATTCTGTATCTCCCTCTTTCTCTGACCCTCCCCTGCTCACACTGTCTCTCTCTCTCTCTCTCTCTCTCTCTCTCTCTCAGAAATAAAACATTTTTTTAAAAAGTCTGATTTTTGACCATAAAAGATTTCCCAAACTAAATATATCTAATGAGGAGGAGGGAAAAAAGGTAAAGAAGCTAATTTACAGTATATCAGATATGACCTTTTGTTTTACAAATATAGTCCAATATTTGAGTACGAAAGCATATTTTAGATTCAGTGATTTTACAGAATACTTTGAACATGCTAATCTACCCTAAGTCTTTGACATTATGAACATATCTTGAGGCAGAGAGTAAAATCTCTGATAAAGGAGTCACATCAATCATAAAAATAAAAATACCTTTGGTGGCTTAAAAGGATAGTCTGTTGGAAAATGTACAGTGAGAAAGAAGACTCCACCTTGATAGGCGCTATCAGGCTGAAATTACAAATATTTGCATCAGTGTTTGGTTATTATATTTATTTAGTAACCTAAGATGATTTCCCCCCAAATATATTTGGGAAAAAAAAGCCATCATTTTGTCATAAGTTCAGATAATTTACCTTGAAAACAGGCTTCCCTTTGCAGGTATGAAGGAGACAACAATCATGACGACGACATAGTTAAACATAAAACTAGGACACACACAATGGTGTGACTTACTCTGCTTGGTCTGCGTGTGTGTAAAAATTTTTAAAGATTGGTATACACATAAGATTGCTTGGAGAAAAGAAGATTTTTCTGCAACAGTAATCAGTATGGGAAAAAGGGTTGGGGCTATATATACCTTCTTATTTATAAAACTTAAGTTCTGCTAGTCCGTTAAGGAAGAGGCAAGAACAGAAATAAACTAAAAAGACCAAGTTATAAAAGGGAAAGGCTAAGTAACACACAATACAGACCTCCAATCTTCACTTAGTAACAGTTTATAATATAATGTGGAAAATGCAAAAAAAAAAAAAAAACCCTCAAAGCAAAACTAGATAAACTCAATATTCATTGAATCAAATTAGGAATCAACTTTACAAAAGGAATTTAAATTTGGCCATGTTTCTTTATGGCAATTAGAAAATACATATAATGTTACAAGTAAGAAAAAAGTGATAAAGAAAAAAGGTAGCAAAACTCCTATAATTCTATTTATTCCTTTATATTTAATTAAATTTATCATGTTATATTACCAGTTTAGTAATAATAGCAAGGCTATCATTACTTCCTTTTTAAGTTTCTGCATATACATTAGAGAACTGTACCATATAATTATTCTTACTATATATAGTTTAATTCTAGTTCTTCAAAAATTATAAGGAATGTAGAAAATGTAAGTAATTACAATCAACAGATATGGTCTGCTCAGATATTCAAATGATATTATAGAGTGGCATGTTTGCAATACTAAAATAAAAGGGGTACGAATAACATAATTCTAACTATTTGCTACATGTGATTCACCTAAGAACTATCTGTAAAGGGCTATAATTGAAGTAGTAAGGGTGGGCCTTTAAATAATAGTATTTTGAAGGTTTTTAGTAAGCAATGAAAAACAAGTAACTTGATTCTAAATGTTGTTAAATAAATATGTTGCATTTTACCCTTTGATAAACTAACTTAATATAACAATTTAGTAATTTGAGACATCTTCCTATGACTCCAACTCTGAAAATTCAGCAATTATTGTTGTTTTTAAAAGTAAAACACAAGGCAATATGATTCAAACCTCTATGGCTTAGTAGATAAAGTTCTTTCAGAAGAGGGAAGAGAAAATGATGTCCATGGAAACATGCTACTAGTATACTCTCACCCAGAAGGTAGTCAATGCCCATTCTTATGCAATCAAATTTTTGAGCAAAAAAAAGAAAAGCCCGTTTCAAGTCATAATTGCCTCTTGGATATAGAAAGAAATAATCTTAGCAAAGGTAGTTAAGTGTTAAAAAAAAAGCCAGTCTTAAAATCACAGGTAATTCTGAGTTCAGTACAATACAACAAAACTAAAAACAACCAATCATGAGATGGCAAAGACAGATAGACTGCAATAGCTCATCCATTCTCTCACACACAGAAACAGTAAAGAACATTATTGTAAACTGGTGCCTGTTACTTGTAGGCATTCCATTACTGAGTTAGTGAGACTCATTTCTAACCTACTAAAATTTGTGAGGTGAGAATAATAATGCTTAGTTTTGAACAACTGACTTTCATGTTTAAAAACAGATAAAGCAAACACATAGCCTGATTGCAAACTGTACATGACCCATGACTATGTATAATAATCAAGGATTTGGCAAAGGAAAAACCACAGTGATCCTAGCAAACATTTGCCACTACTGCTTTAGAAAATTATCATAAATCTTTCAATCATATTTTTCTTCCTGAGTGATTCTGAATACAAGAAAACTTAACCTTAACTATAAACATCTGATCAAAGGTGAAATGGCAAGAATGAAGTATGGCTGAGAAAATTAATGTCATATTTGTGAATCATACTTACAGGTCCCATAATAGTTGCTTGCCAGTGGAACACTGAAACAAACAAAGGAGTTTTCGAGTCATTAACAAGTGTTCAAACCTATATTATTAATGGTAGCAAAATCCTAGCAAGAAAGCAATGCTTACAGTCATCTCCCACAGGTCCAGCTGAACAATGAGCAGGTGGGTCACGTTGTAGATCACTTAATTCCTGTAACAAAGCAAAAATACTTAAGGTTAATTGTTTTTCCAGTAAAACAATCATAGTAATTCATGAAGACACAAACTATTTACTTCAAAATCATTTTAGGCAGTTCTATTCAAAATATAAACAGTAAATGTACTGTTACTGATTAGTAGAAGAGGATGGCAGGCATGAAATTCCTTCGTGAGATAGCTCCAAACTTTGAAAAAATTAAATTCATTAAAATAGTTTTTCTCAATATTCCTAAGACAAAAATATTTGAGTATCTACTGTATGCAAAGTAACTTAATATAAGTGCTACATATATACAAATGCTATGGGGGAGCCTGGTGGCTCAGTCCGTTAAGCATACAACTCTTGATACCAGCTCAGGTTGTGATCTCATGGTCATGAGATTGAGCCCCACATCCCTGCTTGGGATTCTCTCTCTGCACCTCCCTCGCTCATGCACATGCTCTCTCTCTTTAAAAAAAATTTTTTTTTACACTTGATCTTAGCCAAAAGGCCGAGAAGCAATAAAAAAAAAAAAAATTTTTTTTAAAAAAGCCCCATACTATAAGAATATATCTTAAACAGGTTTACAATCTGAGAGTGATGGCTCACAGCCAAATGGATATTGAAAGAACCTGAAAATTAAATGGAAAGAAAGAAGTCACGCCGTATTTGGAAGCCTAGCACATTGATTCACATACTCTTTTCTGCGCTCAAGGAAGCAAAGGAAGGATCATGGAAATGACAGTTGGCCAGTCCTGAGTTGACATTCTAGTTCTGCCATAACTAGCATCACAAGCCTTGGGGAAAGTACTTAACTTCCTTACCTTCACCCCAAATTTGAAAGGTATATATTCAACATAAAAGATTATACGTTAGGGCTGAGGTACCCACTTTAAGTTTGGAGGATAAGAACTTGTCTTTGAGGAAGTGATATCTAAGTTGAAAAGTAAAGGATGAATGGGAGTTCGTTTTGGGAGAAATGAGGGACACTGTGAGGTAGAGCGGCAAAAGGTGAGGCTGAAAAGGTAGGCAGAGGCCAGGAAGATAACAGAACAATAGACAGACTGGGGGGGTTTAAGAAGCTCCATGATCTAATTTGAAAAATGGCTGACCAGTCTTTGTACAGAACAGATGCAAAAGAGGAGAAGCTATTAGTTAATATAGGTGAAAAAATGAGGGCTTGAGCTGGAGAAGTAGCAATGAGATAAAAGTGGACAGAAATGAGATATTTAAAAAAATTTTTTTAATGTTTTATTTCTGAGAGAGAGAAAGAGAGACAGACAGCATGAGCAGGGGAGGGTCAGAGAGAGAGGGAGACACAGAATCCTAAACAGGCTCCAGGCTCTGAGCTGGCTGTCAGCACAGAGCCTGACACGGGGCTTGAACCCACAAACTGTGAGATCATGGCCTGAGCCGGAGTCGGAAGCTTAACCGACTGAGCCACCCAGGTGCCCCTGAAATGAGATATTTTGAAAGGCCTACCTCTCATAGTATTTGATGATGAAACTACATGTATAGAGTTAAAGAGAGAGGTCACAGATATCATGAATATTAGTGGCAGCTAACATGTACTCTATGTTTTATTGTCCTAACCCCCCTCATGGGGTAGGTGTTATTATGATCCCCATTTTACAGATAAAGAATAAAGGCAAACACTTCACTGTGTCTCTAGATAACTCATATAGGATAGAAGTAGGATTCAAAACCTGGCAGTCAAACTTCTAGCTTTTTAGCTTCACAAATGTAGATTCCTTACTGAGATGGAATACTAGAAAACAAGTTCATTTGGAAAGTACACATACTGAATCAGGGATCTCTGTGGTATCAAAGGAAAATTTAGTTCATCATGAATGCAGGTCTGAGAGGACTAGATTAAAAACTGGAAAATTGCTCTATCTACCTGGTATTTAAAACTGTTGGAATGATATAAACCTATTCTTGGGGACGAATTTAAATACCGTATTTCAACAAATCTAAGATGCCATCAAACATAAATTACATCCTTATTTTCTGTACCAATAATTAAGGAGAAATGCTACCAATTAATTTTAAGATACCATCAATTATAAGATGCATCCAGATTTTAGACATGTTAAAATGAAAAATATGTGCATCTTGGAATCATCGCAATATGATAATTATAGTAATGAGTGCAGTGTTCTAACAGAGACAAATAAGGAAGAGTATATGGTAACGAAAGGCTTTCCTAAGAAAGTGATATATGAGCTTAAAACAGCCAAATGCAAACTCTGGTTTCCTTCTTCCAAGACTTCTCCAGTATATCTTGGTACTTTGATTTTTGTTTTTGTTGCATATGTTATCTTCACAGCTGGTGCTATATTCTTCTTCCTGATAAAAATTTAACACAGCAGCTTCTTTGGTCCAGATACAGTTGAACAATAAAGAGGAAGATTTCAGTCTTTGACTTAGCAATAATAGTTAAAAAGCAAGGCTTTGAACTTCAAGTCCAGGTGCCATTACTCACTTGCCATGTGATCTTGGGCAAAACATTTGTTTTCCTCTCTAATCCTTACTTTTTTTTTAATGTAAAGTGGCATTAGTACCTCTATCCACAATTTCCATAACAAAAAAGAAAAATGATATATGTGAAATGTATAGCAATCCCTGACATGTAGTAAACATTCAAGTAAATGTTAAGTTAATATTGAATGAATAACAACCATCCAATTCTCTAGTAGCAGAATGCAATTATTTAACCAATTTAAATGATTAGGGGAGGGGTGTTCCTAAGTCACACACCCATTTTAGATGATTATGCTTTATTTAATAGTATTCTAACCTGGGCTTTTAGGAGATTACTTCTGAAAACATTAATCATGTGGAGCTTTGTAAATAACATTAGTGTAAATGGATAAATGGGACTTGTTTGCCCTTAACTATAAAACTAGTTGTTTAGAAAATGAGTTTCTATAGTTAAAAAAATGGAGGATATTTATTTGCATGTATGTGTTTTACAGAGCTATTGTATGTGTGAATATATCAAGTAAACATAAATACACAAATTTATTTTGTATACTAACAAAAACTCCAAATTAGATTTATAATAGCTTTGAATCACATTCAAACTTCAAATGTTACACTGTTCTTCAAATCCCTTGAAAATATTAGAGAAAAATAAAGGTTATCTTGTTTTCATATTTTTGTGTCCTGATTCTGCCTCCTGTTAGGAGCAGTTAGAGCTCAGGACAAGAGAGAAAATCTCACCACTGAACTGTAAAGGTCAGGTTCTTAAGTTGTCTATTTAAAGCTCACTTATTATAGGATAGAAACAGTTGACAGTATATCATTCTTAATAGTGAGACTGATCATTACTTACTAATAATGACACTAATTCTTAGGTGAGGAGACTAATACATCCTAGACTTTTTAGGGGTCTAAATATCTAATGTTCTATCCCTTTCTCAAACCACATCTCTAGAAATATGTGCCGATATATTTGTAAATATGTAAATGAAACTACTTGCTCTGGGGGCAGACAGAATGACCAACAGAAAACAAACGTCTCAAAATATACTCTGCCTTGCCCACAAAAATACAGATCCTAAAACTAAAAATGAGGAATTCTGAGACATGCTAAGGGGATGAAAATATAAAAAAAAAAAAAAAAAATTACAACCAAAGAAACAAAAACCCCAGACTTTTGTTCTTAGTATATTCAGCAGCCAGTGTACTTTTAAGGTAGGACACAAAAAATCCAAGAACCAATTATCCTTGTTAAATTCTCTCTTCTGTCCATAAAATAACTACGAATACACCTAACCAAAGATATAAGAGATCTGTATGATGAAAACTATAGAAAACTTATGAAGGAAACTGAAGAAGACACAAAGAAATGGAAAAACATTCCATGTTCATGGATCAGAAGAACAAATATAGTTAAAATGTCATTACTACCCAAAGAAATCTACACATTCAATGCAATCCCAATCAAAATTGCACCGGCATTCTTCACAAAGCTAGAATAAACTATCCTAAAATTTGTATGGAAACACAAAAGACTTTGAATAATCAAAGTAATATTGAAGAAGAAAACCAAAACAGGAGGCATCACAATCTCAGACTTTACCCTTTACTACAAAGCTGTAATCATCAAGACAGTATGGTACTGGCACAAAAACAGACACATAGACCAATGGAACAGAACAGAGAACTCAGACTTGGACCCACAAATGTATGGCCAATTAATCTTTAACAAAGCAGGAAAGAGTATCCCATGGAAAAAATACAGCCTCTTAAACAGATGGTGCTGGGAGAACTGGACAGCAACATGCAGAAGAATGAAACTGGACCACTTTCTTACATCATATACAAAAATGAACTCAAAATGGATGAAGGACCTGATTGTGAGACAGGAAACCATCAAAACCCTAGAGGAGAAAGCAGAAAACAACCTCCTTGACCTCAGCTGCAGCAATCTCTTACTTGACACATCCCCAAAGGCAAGAGAATCAAGAGCAAAAATGAACTATTGGGACCTCATCAAGATAAAAAGCTTCTGCAAGGCAAAGGAAACAATGAATGAAGCTAATAGGCAACCGTCAGAATGGGAAAAGATAGTTGCAAATGACACATCAGATAAAGGGCTAGTATCCAAAATCTATCAGGAACTCACCAAACTCCACACCCTAAAAAGAAGTAATCCAATGAAGAGATGGGCAGAAGACATGAACAGACACTTCTCCAAAGAGGACATCCAGATGGCCAACAGACACATGAAATGATGCTCAACATCCCTCATCATCAGGGAAATATAAATCAAAACCACACTGAGACCACCTCATGCCAGTCAGAATGGCTAAAATGAACAAATCAGGAGACTATAGATGCTGGCAAGGATGTGGAGAAATGGGCACCTTCCTACACTGTTGGTGGGAATATAAACTGGTGCAGCCACTGGAATTTCCTCAAAAAATTAATAATAGAACTCCCTCCCCTATGATCCAGTAATAGCACTGCTAGGAATAGGTATACAGGAGTGCTGATGCATAGGA